AATTTTCTGTTAGTGTAGATGTCTATGTGTCCGTTTGTAGGTGCATTATCTATCTGTCTATCATCTATCATCTATTTATCTATCATCTATCACTATCTATCTATCTATCTATCTATCTATCTATCTATCTATCTATCTATCTATCTATCTAATCTAAGCGGGCGGGAAGTGAAGGAGGGAGGGGGAGAGAGAGCGAGGATACAGGCCGACTACCCATCCACTATTCACTGTTCTAGATCAGGGATTAACAGATATACCAGTTGCTTAGTCCACTAGTCCATGGAAAAGAAGCTACAAATCCAGTTTTAGGCTTTTGTTTTCTTTACTAGTATTTGGGACTTTGCCTTTAGACCACTGAAGCCTTGTGACTCACTTCAAAGTTGAAGGTTCCAGGAAATACAATGAATTCCTGAGAGGACTTTGTAGCAGAGAATCACCCTTATCTCCGGAACCAGCAAAGGAGATTACATGATTCAGAAATTTAAAAAATATATTAGTGCAATAAAAGTATTGCACTTTAAGTCTCAGCTTAATTGCATCTTCATACATAAAGTCTGTCCAAGTTTAAAATGAAAACTTATTTCCCTCCTACATTTCCTTCGTTCTTCAACTTCCTTCTGATTCTATCATACTTTTTCCTGGACAAGTACTTCCTAGTATAATACTGGCTGTTTGCTTTCTTTACCTAAACTGACCCTGCTTGGTTCTGAGTTGGGTTTGTCAGGATGGCCTTGGGTTTATAGCCTCAGTCTTGAGGCTATATGTGACCATGTGACCATGGGTGCAAATAGCACAAGATATTTTTTCCTTCCTTGAGCAATGAAGATAGTTTTCATACCTGAATGCCCTATTTGAAGGGTCCTGGTTAAATATCCCATTCATTAGAGTAAACGAGATAACTAGATAATAAAGTCAGTCTGCATAAACTAGACAACTCTCTAACAACCGCTCGAAGTACATTTAATATATGACACCCTTGAAGTACAGGGCTTGAGTGAACTTGTAGAAGGTGCTTTCCCACTTGATTTCACTTATATGCTTCTTTCAAAGTCAAGTTCTGTTGATGTTTAGTGCTTTGTAGCTGGTGATTTTATCAACTGCTTATTTTTAACGGCCTAAACCTCCACCACAGAGGAGGGTGAGCGAGAGGCTGCCTGCCCACCTGGGAAACAAGGCTCTACCTGGCCTGATGTGCCACACTTCCCTGGGCCATCCCAGGCCCAAGCAGCCAGGCCACCAGATTTCAGGCTAAGACAGCCCCAGACTGTGCCTGTTTGAGAACTCAACAATCACATTTTGACAGAATCAACTTAATATTCGCCAAACCCGCTGTGTTCCTGAACCTCCTTGCCATTCAGTTAAACTGCTGAGCTTGGGTCTCTTGTAGATATAGTCTTAGAATAAAGCATGGGATGGAAAGTTGCTGAGATCTAAAACAGGAAATGGAAAGTTAGTTGCTGAATGAAAATTCACTGACATGGAAATGTTCAGAGCAGCTGTGATGAAATGTGGGATGTGTATAAATCAAAAATAATCCCCGTGGTTCTTCTCTCATTTGCCATTTTTTTTTTTTTTTGCCTGAGGGAGTGATTTTTTAAGACTCAAAACAGGAAAAGCCACACCCAGTCACTTTTGTTGTATGGGTTTTTAATTTAATTAAAAAATTTTAAACTTATTTTTCAATTACCGTTGACATTCAATATTATATTAGTTTCAGGTGTACAGCATAGTGGTTAAACATTTATACAACTTACAAAGTGATCCCCCTACAAGTCAGTACCCGCCTGACACCAAATACAGTTATTACAATATTATTGACTATATTCCCTATGCTGTACTTTACATCCCTGTGAGGGGTTTTGATTTTTGGGTGCATGGTAATTGCATATCCTCTTTTTGAATATCTTTCTAAAATTAAATATTCAAGAGTTTCGAATGCCAGTCCTGACTCATAAACCAACTCACTGTTGTACAGTGTATCAGTTGGATAAAGTTCTATTCCCTATGATTTCACCCTGGTGTGGTCAGCAAAAGAACAGGGTGGGTTAGACACACCTATGCCCACTTTAATTTGGTGTTTGGTTATATTTGCAGAGCTATTGAAATCATTGGAGGGAAGAAAACACACCCCCACCCCTCTTCAGGAAAGGGACGTCTTCTGGCCATGTCTCCTGCAGCAGCCGAGTCAGATGGGGTCCGGCAAGATAGGCATGTCAGCATGCTCGTTTTCTTCCTTTTCGTCTTTGGTGCCATCCTGTTGTTTGTGGGAGCCCTGCTCTCCATCTTTGGGTTCCAGACGTGCCAATACGAAACTATCCCAGATTGCAGTATGGTGCTGAAGTTCGCTGGGCCTATATGTGCAGCGGTTGGGCTCGGGGTTGTGATCCTGGCCCGCTCCCGGGCACTACTTCAGTTCCAGGAGAGGCGCCTGCGAGGCAACCAGGTGGACCCTGACCAAGCCTTCATCTGCGGAGAGAGCCGCCAGTTCGCCCAGTGCCTCATCTTTGGATTTCTGTTCTTGACCAGTGGCATGCTCATCAGCATACTGGGCATTTGGGTCCCTGGGTGTGGCTCAGACTGGGAGAAGGAACCACTGAATGAGACAGACATTTCCACCGAGGAGCCCCAGTTCTGTGGATTCCTGTCCTTGCAAATCATGGGACCCTTGATTGTCCTTGTGGGATTGTGTTTCTTTGTGGTTGCCCATGTTAAGAAGAGAAACAACTTGAGTGAGGGCCAGAATGCCTCTGAAAGTGAAGAGAGACAGACCCAGAACACGGAGCCCGTCCAAGTCACTGTAGGTGGGTGTCTGTCATTCCTGTACTTGCTTATATATATCACAGTGGCTGTTGCATCAAGGAATCACGGAGCTGTCCTTGTCTGGCCTAGACCTTCTCTCTCTCTCTCCCCCCCCGCCACCCCCGACACACAGCTGTAGAAAGTCCCATAGTAGTAATTTCCCCCCTGCAATTCCTTATTTTTTAGCAAAAGCTTTAATACATTAAATGTTTACCTTGACCGAAGTTACAGAGAAAATTAAGAAGAAAGTGAGAAGAACCTCAAGGATAGCCTGAGAGCTCTTTGTCAGCTGAGGGAACTGCCAAGTGATCTTTTTTCCCTGTCATTCTCACACTGACACCTATGGCACTTTGTGTTATTGGACACGTGGGTTCTCATCCCTGGCTGTCACTGGCTGACTGTCCTTGGTAAGTCCTTAACCTCTCATGGCCTTAGTTTATATAGCTATAAAATGAGCATTACATTTCTAAGATCCCTTCCAGCCCTAACATTCCAGAATTCTGAGTCTGTCCCAAGTCTACTGGTCTTCTATGTTTTGAGGGGGATTTCTGTTTTCTATGTTGTTCTTCATTTTCTGTAACTTCATCCTTGGCTTCAGGGTTGGGGCAAAGTTTGGAAGCAGTGGCATAGATAAAGATAAAATGTGACAACACCTGTCACTTCTTTCCCCCATGGAATGCCCAGAAATTCCTTTTGGGGCCCTCAGGTGCTGCAGAATAGATGGATTACCATTTCCCAGAGTCAGCCCCCGCCCCCCCAATAACAACATCATTAGCTTTGGCCTCAGCTTCACACAACAACAACAACAACAACAACAAAATCCCATAGATACTCAGTTTTTGCAAATCACTGTTTTGTTTTGTTCCACCCTGCCCCCCGCCCCCGTCTCCTACTTTTGAAAGGATAAAGCTCTGAAGCCACAGCCTTGACATCTAAAAGGCTAGGCAAAGAGAATTAGAGAGCAGAAACCACGGAGGGAACAGTGAAAGAGTCTGGCAAGTGAGATGTTTCTCATGTTTGGGGCTAACTGCTGAAGCAAGCAGTACTCACTGAGCACAGACTGGGGGTTGGAATTCCCTAGGCTGCGGGTCCTGTATGGCACTGGCCTTGGAGAGGAAGGATAGGTGGATTTACAGACAATCCATGCATTGAGCCAGAGTTGACGTTCTCAATTGACTTCCTGTGCATTTATATACTTATGGTGACAAAGTAAATATTAGTTATGTATTAATAACAGCTAACACATATATAAAGTTTATTCCTGTGCCAAATACCCATCTAAGTGCTTTTGCATGTGCTCTTCAAGGACTTATTGTGTGAAATTTAGTCACACAACAATCCATGGAAGGAGATACTCTTAGTAGCTCTGTATTAGAGATGGAGAAACTGAGGCCCAGGGATATCAAATAACTTGCCCAAGGTCACAAACTAGCAAGTGGCAGAGCCAGGATCCAAACCCAGGCAATGTCACACGTACATATACTATGACCTTCCCATAGCATCCCTCCGAGGGCACTGGGCTGCTGGTTTCACTTTCTGTGTCTGCTGGTTTCATTTTCACCAAGTGCTCTGAGTAGTTGTTACATGACGAAAGGGCTCACCCGATATACACAATCTCAGTCCTTTTGGAGAACACAGTGGAGTACAGGTAAATACACTTGTGAGAGGCTCATAGTCTTCTATTTTGTTGGGATCATTTTGAGGTGTGTCTTTCGGGTTTGCTATCGGGGAGTTTCTGGACCCACTCTCCCTCCTGGTGGCTGGCATGGGGGGAGGGGCACCAGGGAACTGGGGCAGGGTGACTCCTGGGTGGTTCCGTCTTGATGTTGGCACATAGTTTAAAATCTTTTCCACGTAACCCTTTAAGTCTCATCAAACCCGTGAAAATCTAGCACCCTAACTCCTCGTTTTTATCTCCTTTGATATTATGGGCTAGGGTTTAAATTTTTAGAAATCATACCTTTTTAGCACAATTGATAAGACTCTAGACATCATCTACCCATGGTCAGTTCTGCCATATGAGGGAAATTGGGTGATAAGAGGAAGTTCTTGCTAAGTTCCAGAATTCAGCTGTTTCCAGAAAGGAAGCCCCTTCCCCTCCCTTAGAACAGATAAACCAAGACACATGATATCCTCATTGTGGGCGCACTCAGTGCTAGACCCTGGATACACAAGCAGGTGTAGGAAACAGCCTTCTCTTAAAGGGGTATATGCTGTCAACTCACAGAGGACATCAAGTCCTGCAGGACATAGTAAAAGGGAAGTCCCAGGGGGAGATGGGACTTCTTTCTGGGGAAAGCAGGTTGCAAGGTGTGGGAGGCCTGGGAGCTGACTGGACAGAAGGATGCATAAGCCCCAGAGATAACTGGTAACTTTGAGCATTTCCTTGTTTATGTTTGATAGGTGGCCTGCTTTAGAGGCTTATTCCTAGGTCCAATGTTGCGTGATGTGTAATTAAAGTGAACACAACATTACTTCCTTTGATCTACTAAGACCTTCTAAAAAGATTAAATGACGATCATTATGCTTTATCAAGTTCAGGTTAGCAACATAAGCTTTAACCACCTCTCCCTGCAGAAGGAGCGATGGAGTTAATGCATTTTCTGAAGGGCTAAGTTACCTTTAGGGAAGTGCTCGAGGCAACAAGGTGGAGAGTGGAACCACTGGCCAAGACCGCCACTTGTGAGTGTTTCTTCAAACATGCAAATAAGTGCCACTTGCTTGCAGAGTGTGAAGAAAGCAGCTTTATGGGTGTGAAACAGCCGAGAGGGTTCCCTCTGTGACCAACACTGTTTTAATGTGAATCCAATGCTCCTACCTGTCCTCTGAGGCAAGTACAGCTATAGCCTGCAATTTACAGATGTGGCAGCAGAGGCCTAAAAGGGTTAAATAGCTTAGTCAGGGCCTTGCTGGGTTGGTAACTGGCAAATGTGCCCGACAGCTTTAAAGAATCCTGTACCTACCTAGGCAAGCGTCAGATCTGCTGCCAGTGCAAACCAGTCTCCCTGTGGAGAAGACCTCTCCCATCATTTTTCCCGGGCTATCATCTGGTGCTTATCCACGGCCACCCTCAGACCTCTACCCAATGGTGCTTGAACATTGTCTAGAATGTTCTGGGCAACTCATGTGGTACATTTTGTACTGGAATCAGAATACAAATTAGAGCTTGCATCTGGTCCCTAGTTTCTCCTTCCCAAACACAGGTGTGTGTGTTGGAGTGAACAGTAGCAACAGAAATGCAGAAAACAAACTTTTCTTTGAGTGAGACTTTGTTTTGTAAAGCTTGGGTGAAATGTTGTTAGATAAAAGACTCTACAAGAGCATAAACCACAGCTATGGCAATTAACAGCGACAGGCAGTAGGGTAGTTGACTGTCCTTTGTTCAGAGGCTGAAACTTCATTTGAAGAACAAAGCACTTTATCCAATAGCTAACTTTTGTTGAATCAAAATTGTAAGTTAAAAACAAACAAAAAAAGCTTTAAAGCTGTAGACATCGCAAGGGAGGTACATTGCCAGCAATTGCTTCACTGAAGTGCTTTAGCTCAGATTTCCTATGAAATATAGGTCCACTATTTTTTAAAATTGTGCTAAAATACATATAACATAAAGTTTACCATTTTAACCATTTTAAAGTATGCAGTGGCATTAAGTACATTCAGAGTGTTGTGCAACTGTCACCACTATCCATTTCCAGAAGATTTTCCATCATCCCAAACAGAAACTTGACATCCATTAAACACTAACTCCAATTCCCCTTACCTCCAGCCCCCCAAAACCTCTACCCTCTGTCTCTATAAATTTAATCAGCTCACTTTTTAATTCTGGAGTTAGCACAGATGTTTTGACCATTTCTATAGATGGGCCAAATATATAATTAATTTATTTTGCTCTTGCTAATTTGTTTGCATTTATTACTCATCTATCTTCAACAAAATATTGTCTCCTTAGGTGATGCTGTGATAATATTTCCGCCCCCTCCACCACCTTACTTTCCTGAATCCTCAGCTTCTGCAGTAACTCGAAGTCCCGGGGCTAGCGGTTTGCTTTCGGATGAAAATCCACCCTCATATGACAGTATTTTTAATGACAGGTAAGACTTTCTACTAGAACTTCGAGAGTAGCATTTCAACATTTTCAGGCCTATACCTAAATTCAGGCCAAATTAGCTTTAAGGCTGTGGTACAGGAGTAAACATGAAGTGTGAGTGTCGTTTTTGCTGACATGATGTCAGAATTATTGCCTTAATATTAACAATACTTTTCAGGAAACTTTGGGCAGCACATAAGTTAAAAATTACAAGTGTGGCTATTCCAGGCTAATGTGAAGCCTTCTCCAGGCACCTTTCTGTGCTCTTAGCAGGGATGACCCTCAAAACATTTAACAATCCATCAGGCAGACCGAGTACTGAGCAGGGCTCGGGAGGCCCCTGCTTGCTGCTTTAGATCATGGGGAGATGTGGGAGTGCAAGGGGGCTTCCAACAGGTACAGAGGGTTTTAGTATCTAGTGGAAGTACCTGAGTGCATCCTGACCTGACCAAGTTGTTCCCAGAGCCTCAGAGCCTTCTCGGATTCATTCAAGAGAAATATAAGCTCCACACCCCTACCCCATGCACCCCATGTGCCACAAATTAGGAGGTGTACCTGGCGTCAGATAAAACAGCAGAAATCTGAGTGCTTTTCCTTTACGCAGAGGAATGAAGTTGAAGTTTTCAGAGTCAGAGCAATGGGATCCAAGCACTGTTTAGTTAGCACAATTCACAATGGGGAAAGGCTGGAGGTGGCCAGACCAGTTAGGAGGCCAAGTCTCATGGACAGGCCTGAGGTAACAGGACCTTGGAACTGTGATGATCAGAAAGGGGAGGAATGTGGGAGGGAAACTGGAGTAGAGATGACGGTGAGGAAAAGCAGAGATCATCGTGTCAGGGATGAGTGATAAGGACAGTGGAATGTCCCTGACTGAGGAGGAGGTGGGACATGAGCTTCGTGTAAGTGGGGAGCAGATGGTGAGCTGGCTTGTGGTGGAGGGGTAGCTAGATGTGGACCTTTCAGGTAGACTGGAAAGGCTAGGTCTTATGAGAGAGATGAGGTGCTGGAGATGGAACTGTGAACAGGTTGCTGAATCCAGGAGGGCAACAAGTTAAAACCTGTGGAGGATCACAGGAGGGGCAGGTGTGACAGGAAGGAGTTCTGGGAAGTGCCAGGGAGGAGCAGGGCTGGTAAAGGCTCTGGCACCATCTTGAATGGGAAACCAGGATGTAGAAAATGAAAGGATTGCAGGAGAATTTCCCAGGACAAAGTGGATGAGCAGGACTCAGTGAAAACTGACTTTCGAGACATTGAGATATGTAAATTTTGAAAGCAGTGAGAAGCAGGACCTGAGAAACAGTGAGCGTGCTGGGGACGGGTGCTGCCTTAGCTGGTTATTTGCATTTTAAGGCACATGTTCTTGTGCTTCCAACTGAGTGATGAGTGATGAGCTAGAGATCTGACCAGAGGTGAAGGTAGGAATTGCCTGCATGGATGAAATGAGAGGTTAGGCTCTGAATTCTTTCTTTATTATTATTATTATTTATGCCTACAGCACCTGGTCTTCCTAGGTGGTCTCTCATCCAAGTACTAACCAGGCCTGACCCTGCTTAGCTTCCAAGATCAGACATTGGGCTTGTTCAGGGTGGCATGGCCGTAGACCATGGACCATGGCTTCACTGGGGCGTGAACCCAGGACCTTCTGCATGTAAAGCAGACGAGCTAACCACTACACTATGGAACCACGTCTTCTGTTAGTGACTTTTTCTGCTCTTTTCTCCAATGATGAATTTCTCTACATCCTAAAATAAATGTATGTTAACTTAAAAAAAACTACTTCTGCTGCTAATATGATTTCTGTGTGCCAGAGTATGGCTTTTCTTGTATTATCACTTATCATTCTTAAAGCCACGCAGAAGTTAGGCACTGTTATCATTTCCATTTTACAGATGAGGAAACTGATGCTTAGAGAGGTTAAATAACTTGCCCAGGAACACACAGCTAGAAAGTAGCAGTGGAAATTCAGATGCAGGTCTGCCATTTGCTAGAGCCCACTCTATTAATTAGTACACCTTCCCACTTTCTTCAAGTTTTTGGTCTAATGATTTAATTTTCTATTTGTGTAAGTTTGTCTACCTTACGTTAGCTGCCTCAGAAGACAAAATAGCAGAGAACAGTAACTCCGTGTGTGTGTGCATGTGTGTGTGTGTGCTCTTTTTGAAAAGCATCTATGCATTTGCATTCCCTGTCTGTTCAATGACAAAGGAAATGACAACAGGAGTCAGACTATTGTCATTAACATTCAGCTCGAAGAAAAGTAAGGGATAAGGAATTAAAACATATCTGTAAGAAACAGAATGTGGAAAAAATTACTCCTTAGATGGTTGCAAGTGCTCTTAAAAATTTGAAAAGAATCTCCTCAAGGTGTGTTACTCTTTCCTCTCCTCACTTTCATGTGCTCTCTTTTTAGCAGGACCCCAACTCCTGAGGGCCGAGGTGCAGACGCTGAGAGAGAGCGTGTACCCATATATACTATTTCTGGGACTACTTCATCCTCAGAGATCTCACAAACTCTGCACGTCTCATCTGAACTGCCTCCCAGATATGAAGAAAAAGAATCGCATGCAGCCGCATCCTTGTCTCCCTCTTCTGAGCCTTCCCCACCCTGAACTATGGACTCCAGTTCAATTTTATATAGAATCGATCACTATTTTATTTAATTTGTTTTTTAATAAAAAATACAATAGCATTGGCTATGTTCTGATTTCCCTGGTGGAGCATCAATATCCGTAATAAACCTTTACCTACCTGAGAGGGTCAGATACACGAGGCATTTTGAGCTAAGGATGAAGTAAGGTAGCTTAGAGCTTCAGAGGATCATTGCAAGATGAGAAGAGCAGATGTCCCATAATTAGTAATTTTCCCTGCCCTATAGATAGATTTTTTAAAAAGTTATCTCTGATAATCTCATTATGGGCAAGTTCCCGATTCAAACTTCTAGGTAGTTACAGGGAGGGGGTCAGAAGTTTCTCTTGAGCCTACAGGGTCCTGGTTGCCTTTAGCTCAAAATAATATGCATACCACTGAGGTATGTCCTAGGGCGACTAGTTCTGAACCCCAATTTAAGCTGTTAGTGCTTCAGACCTTGGGAGAGGCTAAGTACCTCTGGCCAGGGAGTAAGCTTGTTCTCTAACTTATACCTACTACTCCGGAGGTTGGTGGGATCATTTCTATTGATGGATGAGAAAACAAAGGCTCAGAGAGGCTAATTAACTTATTCAAGGTCACATGCTTCTAAATGGTGAGGTTGGATTTTGAACTGTCTAGGTGGTTTCTGGAAGCCAGGTGTACTTGTCACCACTCCATGCTGTCAAAGGCCAAACAGAAGGGGTTGTTAATGTTTAGCTTGGTCCATTCTGCTTTCCATGTTAATTGCTTCTGGGGCAGAGAAGCTAGATTACTCTATTATTTGTTCTTCTTTCCTTTCCTCTTCCTCTCTTCCTTCTTCCTCTTCTTTTTATTCCTTTTCTTTCATTTGAAAGAAGGTAATTAGGGTAATTAGGTAATTTACATTGAGGCGGTTACCAGCGTACTGACGTTCTCCTTATAGTGAAGTGACACTTTTGGAGAAGAAATTTCTTGGGATACTTTGATAACTAGATTCCCCTGAAGAGCTCCAGGAAGGATGTGCCTTTCTGTATTACAACATACTGGTGCCAAACCCTCTGGACCACTGACTTTTATCCTTAAAAGGCTACTGCTGAACAAAAGCTTTTGCATAGTTGGGTATAATAATAAATACTTAATTCTAGATATAAACCTTAAGAAATAACCATTAAGTATTAATAGTTCTACGTGGGAGAAACTGATTTTCAGAATATGAAATCTGTAGTAACAGCACTTTTGGTAACAAAATTTGATGTAGCAATTTTTATGCCTTTTATACAAGTCATAATCCCCATAATTCAGCAATTCAGCATTTAGGTGCCTGAAAGCAGAACTTAAGGGCATTAATGCTCTAAGAGTTTTACCGAAGTAAAGACTGATTTCATGGGCACTGCTACCATAATAAATCAAGGGTAGCAGTCTGTACCAGCAATGCCAATCTATTTCTAAATTAAACATTTATTGGATTGAATTGCTCTTAAAATTCTGTGCTTTTTTTCCTGGAAGGTTAATTATTCAAATTTTAAAATTAGAACAGTGGGTAGATAATCACCACTTCCTTCTGCTGTTATTTGTTTAAAATGATTAAGCTGAAACTTCTAGGTAGAATTAGTTTTAAATCTTTATGAGTTCTCATATATAACCAAGAGCTTTCAATGGCTCTGAATTGAGGTTTATAACAGAGTATTTTACTTTGATATGCTAACAAATTTAAATAAGCAGTTAGAAACAGGTGTAAGTTTGATCTTCTGGTTAGGGAAATCTATTTTACTTCCACGAGCCTCCACGGTATTCAGCAAAGTGGGGACTGAGGCCACAACACTGAGAGGGGTCCCCGTGTGGGAGGGTCTTTATTACAGGACTGAAATCACATGCCAAAGAGCAGGTGTGAGTCATTTAGTCACAGAAAGATGCATCCTTTGCCTAACAAAGTTCTGACGAAGGATGACAGCTTCTGAAAACCCACCTGGAGACTGTCACTTCTTTTTCTTTTTTCCTCATATGTGTTAATTTTTTTTAATCATATAAGGCATACCTCATTTTATTACGCTTTTCAGATATTGGGTATTTTATAATGCCGTTGGCAACATTTTTCCAATGGGCTCAGATGACAGCATTTTTTATCAATAAAGTATTTTTAATTAAGATATGTTCATTTTTTCAGGCATAATGCTATTGCACAATTAATAGGCTATAGTATAAAGTAAACAGAACTTTTAGATTCACTGGGAAACCAAAAAATTTGTGTGACTCACTTTATTGCAATAGTCACTTCATTTCAAGAGTCTGGAATTGAACCCGCAATATCTACAAGGTATGCCTGTAATATAAAATTAACCGTTTTAAAGCGGACAGTTTGGTGGCATTTAGAACATTCGCATGTTGTACAGTCACCACCTCTAATTCCAAAACATTTTCATCGCCCCAACATAAAAAACCAATACTCATTAAGCAGCCACTTTACATTCCCCTCTCCCTTCTACCCACTGGCAACCACCAATTTGCCTTCTGTCTCTGAGTATTTCTGCTTTTCTGGGTATTTAATATAAGTAGGATCATACAGTATGACCTTTTGTGTCTGCTTCTTTCATTTAGTACAATGTGTCTGAGATACATTCACATTGTAATATGTATCAGTACTTTATTCATTTTTAGAGCTGAATAATAGTCCATTGTATGTATATGCCAGTTTTGTTTATTCATTCATCTATCGATGGCCATTTGGATTGTATCTGTTTTTTGGCTGTTATGAATAGTACAGCCCTAAACTTTCATGTACAAGTATTTGTTGGAGTACCTGTTTCAATTCTTTTGGGCATATACCCAGGAATAAAATTGCTGGATCATATGTTAACTTTAATGAAAGTTTTTGAGGAACTTAAAACTGTTCCTCAGAGTTTGCACCATTTTACATTTCCATCAGCAATGTATGATAGTTCCAATTCTTCCACATCCCCACCAATATTTGTTATTTTTTAAATTATTATTATGACTATTACAGCAATCCTAGTTAGTATGAAGTGGTATCTCATTGTGGTTTTGATTTAATTTTCTCTAATGCCTGATAATGTTGAGAGTATTTTCATGTGTGTTACTTGTTTTTGAACACCAGACATTATTGTCAGCAGCATGAGAAATCTTACTCGAGAATTTCTTCCTGTGGTATTGGAAAGTGTGATGCCCCACCTTACAGAAAATAGTCATGAGATCTGCGAATTTAGATGAGACTACCCACACAAGGTGAATTGTGCCACCATGCTTCCTCTACACTATAAAAAGCCCTTCTTGTGAATTCTTTGTCCTCCCCTGGGGTCTGTTAAGTGGACTAACCCACTCAACCAATTCAACGGAAACTAAAGCAGTTTTTGATGAGGTAAAGTCCCTTTGGTATTTCTTCAGTTTATGAGTTAAGGAGGAATGGGGCAGACCAAGGGAGACAGGTTTCAGAGAACGAAAGATGAGGGAGAAGATATGTGTTCATCTAGTTTCTACCTGTGAAGTTCGAGTGAAGTGGGGAGAGCGGCAGGAGGAGTTAAGGTGACCTCTGTGACATCTTCAATGCAATGTGACTGTTGGTCTTCTGATATGGTTGCTGCACAGAGAACTGAGGCCATGTGAATGGTGGGTCTCCCCAGAAAAGGGCCATCATTCTAGGGCAGGTGGTAGGAAAAGAATGGATCCAGAGATAGGACATCAACCTTGGAAGGTGGCCTTACTCAGGCAGAAGAGAGACGGGAGGTGGTCTGGCTGGATCTGTGAGGATCCATGACGATAAGAACTATGGTAATCATTAAAAAAGTTAAATTGCTGAGTCCCATTCTAGACCGGCCCAGTGAATCCAGATCTCCAGGGGGTAATGTGTCTTGTCCAAGGAATCTGGGAAACACTGCCTATGGAGACAACAGAGAGAACCTGCAGAAGCAACACCACCACGTGGGCTAGATTATCTGGGTGATGAGCTCCTTGTAACTTCTAGGTCTTCTGGAGTGTCCTGTTTACACATCCCAGTCTGTGCTCAGGGTCCCTGAGGGGAAGGATGTGAGTTTACAGTTAGCCCCCAGTGTCACTGGGGACTTCACACAGTCTTCCTGTCCCAGTCTTCTAGGCATCTCTGTTGGTGATTCATGTGAGAGACTCCAGCGAGTGGAGAAACAAAGTCAGGGTCATGTTAGGCCTCTCTCACATGGGGAGTCCTCCTGTATTTCAAGACCGGAGGACTTTAGACTCATTTATTAAGGAAGGCATGGTTTTATCTTTGCTTCTTTGTTTTGGAAGAGGCCAAGACTTCTGCATGTCTTCAACTAGGAGCACCAATGACATTTGTCAAGACAAGGTAGAGTGGAAGAAAACATTAGTTAGGTTGAAATGGAAATGGTTGAGATTGTCCAGATGGAGAGTGGTATAATTGCCCCTGCCTTCCTCTCACTGACTCCCAGCTCCTTGTGAACCCAGTTGAGAGAGGTACCCCAGTCGGTGTGGTGGTCTGGGCTCTGCCAGCTGCCATTCTGGAAACAGGAAACCCTGATCCTTGAGCCTCTGGTGTAGGAGCTTCTCCAAAGGAGAGAGAAGCCGGAAAGCATACTGTGGGTGGTGCGTGAGCTAGAAGGGAGAAATGCCGTCTGACTGTTGGTGGGGAACCACGCATGGCCAGTCTGCTTCATGCCACGAGCCTCCTGGGATCTTGCATACCTGGGATTCCTGGAGTGTCACGCCTTCTGCCACTAACCTAAGTACCCCGACAGGAACAAAGTGGAGAACTTGGATGCAGCTTTCTCTAATAAGGAATGCTTTGGGGGTGGAGGAGTCCAGCTGGGTGAAGCTTGTGACTGCTTGAAAACACTGTCTGCCCTTTACCTCACTCAGGAGGGTGCTGCAGCCCTCAGGCTGAGGTGTTGCCAGTGCTGGGAGTACAAGGTGACTTCATCCTCTCTGTCTCTGAGGGGGCAGAATGGCAGACAGCAATCCAATGAGGAAGGGAGGTGGGCATTGCTTTCACTACTCTGTGTGTTCTGGAGGCTGCTTGGGCCTGAAAGAGCCAGAACTTGGGCAGGGCGTGTTA